TGATAATTTTTTCCAGAATCATTGGCGCTTTATACTTTTTTTATTTCGCTGTTTTTGATGTATGAGCTTTATACTTTTTTTTATTTAAGCGAGATATGAAGGATTGGTTATTTCTCGTTATTCTGGGTTTTAGTATTAATTAGTGTTAGCTTTTGCACTGAAAGGTTATCTTGAGCGTCTCGCGAATAACAGTCATCTTATATATGTTATAGACTTCGTGAAAATCTTTAACTTGGCCATGTCAAACATGCATGCTACAAATTTCGATTACCAGGTGCTCTAATGCTCACGTCGTCGTGCACGTTTGTGTGACTTTCAACGATGGCAATAATCATGAATGGAAAAATATACGCCGTTCATACAGAATAAACGAGAAAAAATGAAAGCAGAAAAGCAATGTCATAAATTGAACGAGGAAGAAAAAATAAAAACCTGAATCGGGCGACGCTACAAGTCTAATGCTTCAAGAAATCGTCTGACGATGAAGGATTAATAGCCTGTCCTTCCAAATCACTCCCGTGCTTTCATCCAGAATTTTTAAAATCTTGTTATATTGTGATAAAATTATATCTTAAATTAAAGGGATAATGATATTCTAAAGACTAAACTGCACAAATGGTGCATGTAGTTCGCTGAAAATTGCCACTTTGGTCCAAAAAATGATTGGACCTCGCACCACATGGCCAAAGTTTTTATTTGTTGTGAGTTAGTCCGATTTACTTTAAACTTTTTGAAAACGACGATTTACCCTTGTTTTTGCTTTTTCAGGTTATTTATTTATTTAAATATTTGTATGATTAAAAAAATAAAAAATCTCTATCTCTCTCTCTCTCTCTCTCTTCTCTCTCTCTCTCTCTCTCTCTCTCTCTCTCTCTCTCTCTCTCTCTCTCTCTCTCTCTCTCTCTCTCGCCAATAGAGAAGTTCAAAAAATTTGTTCCATTTTTTACTCTCTTGATTTGTAATTACTTCGTGTTAATAATACAGAAGAAAAAGGAAGTAGCAAATGTCATCAAATCATAAAAGCTTTGTAGGTGAAAACCATTCAAGAAATCTTTCAAACAAAACATAGAAATTTTTCGTTTTTTCTGAAACACACACACTCCAAAATTATGTATATGTTCTTCAACACACAAATGAACCTAGATTTTGAATAAACCCCAGACAAGATTTTTGATTTTGAAAAAAAAAACTATAAATGATTACTCATGAACACATACTCCATGAGCACCTCCAAATCCATGATCCCAACTGTCGGTTGATGCGTGTTTGGTATCCCCATCAATGGAAGAACAAGCTTCACATACTTCCCCTAAATCTTCGCTATCATCAGAAAACGTTGTCATCGTCGGTGATTCAGAACTCCACGACGGCAACGTACATCGGTGAAGATTTGGATGTCTCCTTCGTCTCTCTCCTTCGATTCTGAACACAAGATGAGGACATGGTTGCAGATCTGTAAGGAGGGAAGCAGATCTAGGTGGGTATTGCAGATCTGTAAGGAGGGAGGCAGATCTAGGGTTTGCTGAGGAAGATCGTGGCGTCATTGTTCATGAAAATGAAACTTCCGATCTCCTCACCCCTTAATTTGGTTTTGCTGATAAAACACGAGGGTAACATAGATGGAGTTGAACGGTTTTGCTTTTGGGTTTGCTAATTTCTTGAGAAATCTGGTTTTGTTGAACAAAAACCCAATTTATGTGGGTTCATTCCACCATGGTCGATTTCTTGATAATTTTGGCAAAAAAAAATCCAGATTTCTTGAATATCTTTTTTAAACCAGAGGGTTTTATGGGAGATACTACTGGAGGCAGAAGGTATGTGGGGCGGGGGGGGGATGTTGGAGATGACGGGCTATAGATTTCATCGTTGCAATTGAAGGTGATGGTGGTGTGTTCCACTGGTTAGTGTTCTTTGGGGTTAGAGAGAGAGAGAGAGAGAGAGAGAGAGAGGTATTTTTTATTTTTTTTAATCATACGAATATTTAAATTTAAATAAATAAATAAATTGAAAAAGCAAAAGCAAGGGTAAAATCGTCATTTCAAAAAAGTTTAAAGTAAATCGGACCAAACTCGCAACAAAATGAAAACTTTGGACCTGTGGTGCTAGTCCAAACCTTTTTGGACCAAAGTGGCAAATTTCAGCAAACCACAGGGACCATTTGTGCAGTTTAGTCTATTCTAAATTAAGGTTTTAATCGGTTTTTGGGATTACTAATTTAAAATGCTATTATTTATCATGTGGTTTTAGTAGGGATACTATTCCGGACGGAACCGAACCGAACCCGAATAACCTGAAAACCTAATAAGGGTAATTGCATGAACCGATTAACCAATACGGATTCGGTTCGGTTCGGGTATTAATCGATTCAGTTCTGTATTATCCGAATAACATGTACAAGATGATTAACGACTTAATATAACCGAAATAAAATAACCGAATAAACCGTATTAGGATTCCATAACCTGAATAATAGAATAATAATGTAGTTTTATACATCAACATAAAACCTTGAAAGACTAACATAACACAATAACATATTGAAAGAATAACATTTATATAGTAGATTAACATAATGAGAATTAATTTTTACTTGAGTTTCTTGAAATGGAGCCTAATTTTCTATGACTAGACAAAGTAGGTTCGTGAATCCTTAGAGACATTGGAAGGGTCGATTTTTGAAAGTTTGAAACACAGAGGAAGGATCGACAAAAGAGATTTCAATTTTGAAAAAAAGAATTTGGAAATAGATGAGAAGATTGGTCGATTTTGAAACGACGAGAACAAGTGTAGGTTTTTTTTTTTTTTTTTTGTTATGAACAACAAGGACAAAATATGAATCATGATTTTGATTTCTGTCGATGAGAAAAAGGGGAGGAGGAATGTTTATTCGGGTCGGGTATTTAGAACCGAATAAGCTCTTATTTGGGTGACTCGAACCGAATAAGCATAATATAGATATCCGAAACCCGAATCGAATTGCTTATTCGGGCCTAATTCGGTTCGGTTCGGGTTTTCGGCCCAAATTCTCATCCCTAGTTTTAAGTGTCTGAATATAGAAAATAATTAAAAGGTTTATTATCTTAAATAATGATTTTTTGATAAGTTTTTTTTATTTATTTTTATTTTTTTTATTTTTGTATATTTGAAACTAGACCGCATGTTGCTTAGACTATAATGATATTAGGTTATAACCCGTGGATACCACGGATGATAAAGTTAAAAATAATTTTATTTAAATTATAGCTTAATTATTGAGCAATGATAATATAAATTAATAAGTAATAAATATAGATGTTTTGCCAGTAATTTCATAATGATATAATGATCGTTTGAAATTACGAAAGCATAGTTGTTTGAATATTCGATCGGCAATTTGTATTTGTAGATATGTTATAAAATTATCATTTTGTAGAACGCAATATTAATTTAAATAAAACATAAACAGAAATTGATATAAATAATAAAATTGTACAAATTTTTTATAAATTTCTAAAAACTTCTTTATACACAACATTTGATGTTTTATTTGTTAGTCTTTTTTTTAACGGTCAGTTAGTGGTTAAATGTTAAATTCATCAAGTTAGTCAGTTCGCATATGTCCGGGTTTCAACCTGGGACCTCCTGTCTAAGAGGCTTCCACCTCTACCAAGTGGGCTAGTCCTACATTGACTTATTTGTTATTCTACCATCATTATTTAAAATTAATAATTTTAATCCTTCTTTACTTTGAGGGGTTGATGTGCTAGAAGTTATTTTGGATTTTCTATTATCCAAATATAACTTTCTATTTTTTTCTCCTCCCTCTAACATTGGTAGAGTTTTATAGTGTTATTTGAACCTGTAAAATAATAGTAAAAAATTTAAGGACATCTTTTGGTATAAAGTTAAAGATTTTATATTATTGTAAAAATTCTATAATTTTTAAAATAATAATGAGCAATAGATTTAAAATAAATAAAGAAAACATATTACATATGTAAAATAAAGTATGAAAATCATTGTATTTGCTAAAGTGAATACTATGTGTGGTAGGTATACGTTGAGACGATGAATAATGAAAAATAAAAAATTAAAGTTAAAAACAAGAGCTTATTCGGTTCTAAATATTTGACACGAATTCGGTCGGAATATGCAATTCGATTCGGGTTTCGGTTCTAAATACTCGACCCGAAATAAGTACCGTATTTTTCATTATTTTTACTTTCGATTATCCAAGTATAACTTTCTATTTTTTCTTGTCTTTTAGCTTCTGTGGCATCCATGTTCTTATTTGATAAATAATGAAAAATAAAAAAGTAAAGTTAAAAATATAATTATTAATTTCAAAGTAAAGGTTACACACGATTGTTATCTCCTGTAATTCGAATAAACTTCAATTGAATAATTGAATAATAATCAAATAGTGTAATAGCCCAAAAACCAAGATCAATTTTTTTTTTATTTTAATTAAACACAAAAGTTACACTCATCACATTGTTCCAAAACCATTCAATAATAATAATGTCAAATCATCAGAGTAAAATGTCAAAATACGGAAAACTAGTGAGGAGTGAATGTTGCGCCATTAAGTCGGACCCTTCCCCTTAGTACCGGAAGTACCAGAAACCACAATTATAAACTATAAGCAACAGCCTAGTGAGTTTCCCAATCATATCACATATTAAAAGAAAACATGTAAGTGTCATGGGCTACCCCCATGGTCTTTTTCACACAATGTCGAGGGCCAAATCTTGGTCTTACATATGATTGTCATGGGCTACCCCCATGGTCTTTCCTTGCGATGTCGATGGTCAAATCCCGGTCTTACACTCAAGTGCCATGGGCTACCCCCATGGTCTTCCATACAATTATCACAAAAGTCAACAACATTCTACGTAATAAGAAATTGGCCGACATTGGTGCTTTCGACCCATGAACATGGTGAGAAGACTCACCTCAACTGCTGTAATCCCAAACAAACACTCAGGCTGCTAGGTTGGATAAATTCTTGTGCTAACTAAACAATTAAGGTCCCAAAACAATTGGGGAAAAATCTGGACTAAGAATTACGACATAAGACTAATGTCCAAAGCGAGATGGGCCAAACTAGACCTAAAGCCCAATAAAATCCTAGCCCCAACCAAGTATCAACTAAGGCCCACAATGAGTCCAACAGCTGGAGTGGCCCATCGAAAAAACGTCTAAGGCTCAAACCCATCAAACAAGTCCATCGATTTGGACCCAAAACACAAATCCACCTGATTTGGGCCGTACGCTCGGCGTACACAATGGTACGTGCAACGTGCAAGGTTGAAGCGGGAAATCGCGACCAAGTAGGCAATACGCGTGGCGTACAGGAATTACTCACGGCGTACGCTGCCCCCATGCAAGCCATGCAAAGACTTCTTAATCACTTAAGACCAAACGACTAAAACTAAGATATGGACCCCTTAAGACCAATAAGGCCATAAAGTTGCAAACTTTATGCCTTTGGGTGGATACAAAGAGCCTAAACTCTAAAACCTAGCTTATGTTACCCAAATCTACACTCAAGCACATGAATGGGACTCAACAAGACTCAAGCTTGCACCTTTATGATATAAAACGACTAGAAGCATCTTTAAATACAACTTAGAGGCTTAGGAGTAGCTCATACTCACCAAGATCTAAACTTTAGGGACAAAAGGAAGAAACTAGCCTCATAATAGAACTTAATGAAACACAACCAAAGTTTGGAGCTTTATACCTTCTAGTGGTACAAAATTAAGGGGAGATGCTAGATCCAAAATATTGAGGGAAAAGCTTCCTTCTTGAAGAACCTTCTTCACAACCAAAAGCACACACTATCACTCAAAAAGCTCCAAAAGCTCAAAATGCACTAGGGTTTGCTAAGAGGGCCGAGAAAGGGAATGGAGGTTGAGGTAGGGGAGGGTCTTGGGCCATAATGAGGTCTAGATAGTGCACAAACCATAATTATTAGGGCTTTGGTCTGAGCCACGTATGCCCTACGTACTGGAGTACACGCAACATACTCACATGGAGGCCATTACACTAAGCATACAAGGATGTATGCCTCGCATACACGATCAAGGCCAAAATTGCAAGGTTTTAACTTTGGGGACCTAATATGCAATAAAATCAAAACTCAAGGGTTCAAAAGAAAACATGATAAATCTTGGATGTTACAACTCTCCCCCACTTGAACTACACTTTGCCGTCGAAGTCAGCTGTCTCGAATAATTCAGGGTAGTGTTCCCTCATATCGATTTCCGGATCCCACGTCCATTCCAAACCCTTTCGGTGCTGCCATTGCATCTTAACCAGATTCACCACCTGATTACATAAAGACTTAGTCTTCATGTCGAGAATCGCAATCGGCTTCTCCATATAATTCAGGCGCTCATCCACCTGAATATCATCCAACGAAATCATTACCGAATCATCGGCTACACATTTCTGCAACTGAGATACGTGGAAAGTTTTATCGAACTGACTGAGATCATGAGGAAGATCCAGCCGGTATGCAACCCTGCCCACATGGGCAATAATCCTGAAAGCGCCAATA